TACCTTCTCTCAAGGGTCAAGATCCATGTGATCTCACAATATAAAAGTATGACCATTCTACTTTACGTTTTAAAGTGTGATGCAAGAAGAAAAAAAAAGATGTTGGAAAATCTATTTTATCACGAATTTGTTAAAGTCTTTGTCTATGCAAATCAAAATCTATAACTTTACAGAATATATGTTTTTATTTTAACAAACCATAACTTTTCAAGTCTTAGTTTTATGAGAAATAACCCCCCAAGTAGATATGCATTATAGGTGGCTAACACTACAGAAAGCTACAAGGATAACTTCGGATATAGATAACCAACAAAGAGTGTCGTGTCTTAACCGTTACTAGTTCATATCATTGTTTAAGCATATATTAAAAGATTAAAACCAAAAAACATGCCTGTGTTGCTTTTACATGATCCATCAAAAACCATATAGTAAAAAACTAATATTCTGCTTTTTAACTAAAAGAGTAGAGAAACACATAGATAAGAAAAAAAAACATCACAAGTGAAATCTACAGTTCGTCCTTGGTTGGTGTCTCTTCCTCAACCTGTTCAGCTTCAATATTTAGACCACTAGCCAAGTCATCTGATTTGGTCTCAGTACTCGCCTCCTCACTGGTCTCTGTTTCCTCTGCTTCCACTTCCTCTTCTGCTACTGCATCAGGGTTGATCTTCAAGCTGCTCTTGACTGAGTTGTAGATACGCCCTGCAAAGTCTTTTGGATCGTTGAGCATGAATCCACTCTCTATCAAAGCCGTCTGGTACATGAGCTGAGCTGTTTCTTTCACACTCTCATCCTGAAAAACATTGTGTGTTTTAGATTTTATCTCAATCATTCTAAGTTAGGTAAAAAACATAAACAATGTTCAAAAATCCATTACACTGTAATTAGCCGCTTTGTAAGAGATTATTGTTTAAAAGTGCGTTTAGACCGCTTTTAAAAACTTATTTTAGAAAAATAATTTCACTTAGGTCTGGTCTGATTCACCCCTAGGACCTGACTAATCCCAATTTTAAAACACTGAAAATAACCGATGTTCAAGAAATCATTAGGCCAACTTTTTTAAAACCATTTTAGAAATATCATTTCATTTAGGTCTGATTTGCCCCTAAGACCTGCCTAGACTTATTAGAACACTGAAAATAATAGATGAGTCTTATGTTTGTTTACCTCTGGGTCGCTAGCAACTCTTTCCTTGAGTTCTTTGATGATAGGGTGACGTGGATTAATCTCCAACACCCTCTTGCCTTTCATGTAAGCTTGCTTGTTGGCATCAGAGAGAGTCTGAGACTGCATGATCCTCTCCATGTTTGCACTCCATCCAAACTTAGACGTCACAACTACACAAGGAGTGTCAGCCAACCTGTTACTGATTTTCACATCGTCAACATTCTCACTAGCCAGACTCTCTTTCCACCACTTGGTTAGCTCCTTGAACGCTTCCTTAAGCTCCTTAACTTTAGAGTCTTTCCCAACCTTCAACCCTTCCTTTGACACGTTCTGAAACTTCTTGTCCTCGTAGTCCATCAGGTATTGCATCAAGTACTCATCAACAGGGTCTGTGAAGAAGATGACCTCATAGCCCTTTTTGATGAGCCTCTCCAGGAATGGAGATTTCTCCAGCTGTTCCTTGCTGCTTCCTGTGATGTAGAAGACGTCCTTTTGCCCCTTTTTCATTCTCTTGATGTACTGATCCAGAGAAGTCAACTTTCCATCTGACTTTGTTCTGTAATAGCAAATTATATAACCTTTTAGCCAGCTAATGCTAATAAGATAAGCAGACATATGTGAATTAAAGAAAGCACATACGTCTCAAAACGAAGAAGTTTTGCTAAGCGGTTCCTGTTAGAAGCATCCTCAATGATGCCAAGTTTAATAGACTTGCCAAACTCGTTCCAGAACTTGGTGTATTGACCTTTCTTCTCGTCATTCTCACCAGACTTCTCCACATCTATGTGCCAACAATTTGAATAAGTTTTAGAATAAATTACAGGAAAAAGTGGTTTTGATTACCAGTGGAATATACCTTTCTTGTCATCATCATGGACCTCGTCAGGGTCCTCTTCAGCAAGCTTGCGGATCATATCAAGGGCCTTTCGGATAAGCTTCTTCTTTATTGTCTTTAAGCTGCTGTGTTGTTGAAGCATTTCTCTTGATACATTTAGAGGCAATGTGTCAGAGTCAACAAGACCCTGCAAAAATTAACTCAACATTTGAGATTCCACCCTAAACCCTTGGTTTGTCTTCTAGTTAGTTTACCTTCAAGAAACTCAAATATTTAGGCAGAAGCTCATCAAACTCATCGGAGATGAAGACTCTCCTGACATAGAGCTTCAAGTTGGCCTTGTTGCTGTTGTAGTAGCTCTCGTACTGATCATGTGCAGCTTTAGGAGGAACGTACAACACAGCCTTGAATTCAACATCACCTTCAGCATTGAAGTGACTCCAAGCCATTGGCTTCTCCTCAGAGAAATCCTGCGTAGAAACTGGGTCAGTAAAAAAAAAAATCCACAAGAGAAGCTTATATCAAGTGGGTAACAAGTGTTATTATTTGTTTTACCTTTGAGAGAGAGTGATAGAATTTAGTGTACTCTTCCTCAGTCACCTCCTTTGGACTTCTGAGCCATATGGCCTTAACATCATTCAGAAGCTCCCATTCATGAACTGTTTCTTTCACTTTCTTTGTTTTCTGCTTCTTCTCACTGTCTTCATCATCAGCATCTTCTTCCTTCTCTTCCTCAGTAGAGGGGGTTTCTGAAGCAAAGTACCATTAATAAAAACTTGTAGGAATAAAGGCACACTATAATTGTGGTGTTTCATTATAACTCACCAGATTCCTCTTCAGTTGATTCATCTTCCTCAACAGGGACCTCAGTTTCAACCTCTTTGCTAGCCCATAGGTGAATAGGGAAGTTAATGAATTCAGAATACCTCTTCACCAAATCCTGTAGTAGACAAAGATGATCATAAGAACCACAATGAACCAATAATCAGAAATAACTAGTGCTTTGGTTCTTTGTTATGGGTAACTTTTAGTTTGTATCACTACTTTACTTTCAAAGTTAATATAAGACTGACCTTAAGTTTACTCTCCTCGAGGTACTCGCCAGCTTCATCTCTAAGATGTAATCTAATCTCAGTTCCACGTCCTAGAGGCTCATTCCATGTATCCTCAGAAACAGCAAATTTACCATCAGCCTTTGATTCCCATACATGTCTGAAAAATTGAAATAAAAAAAAAAGTTATCAGAAAAGTTTTCCAAATAATTTTACATGTCTCCTTCCACACAAAAAACACTATCCGGAATCAAACTTACTGGATGTCATCATTGTGCTTGCTAATGACTTCAATGTAGTCAGCAACAAGATAAGCAGAGTAGAATCCAACTCCAAACTGTCCAATAAGGTTCAGATCCCCACTTGATTGCATTTTCTCAACAAAAGCTATTGAAAAAACAAGATGTTAAAAACTTGTCCAGACCTATTATTAAGAATCAACCACATCAAGAAAACGTACCTGAGGTTCCAGATTTTGCAATGGTACCAAGGTTCTTGATGAGGTCTTCCTTAGTCATTCCAATTCCACGGTCCCGGATAGAAAGTATCTTCTTTGCTTTGTCTAGCTTAATCTGCAGATTCAGTACACAACATTTTAACAGGACAAACAGATCAATGGTATTATATGTTCTACTCTCTCACAAAAAAGACTAAATGAGAAAGATGTAAAGCTAACCTGGATCTCAAGCTTAGCATTGTCACCTTCACCCAAAACATCTTTATCAGTGAGTGCAAGGAACCTAATCTTATCCAAAGCCTGCAAAAATTTACAAACATTAGCTCCCATGTTTCAACAGTCAATAACCAATGATAATAAACACTTAAAGACATTATTACATCAGAAGCGTTGGAGATCAACTCTCTAAGGAAAATGTCCTTGTTACTGTAAAGAGAGTTGATGATAATGTCCATAAGCCTCGAAACCTCAGCTTGGAACTCAAACTTCTCCGCGTTACTTCGTAGTGACTTCTTTGAGATCGACTCAGACTCTCTGCTCAAAATTAAACGAATAAAAAAATCAAGACACAGAGATTCAAGAAACTGAGTCCAAAGTTGTAGTGTGTTGACAACTACTAACCTGTGAACAACATCTGAATCAGTGGATAAACCGCCGTGACCACCGAGTTTCTCCTCCACCTTAGGTGGATCTGTAACTTCATTGGTGCTATCATCCGCATTCGCGTGTAGCTTTCTTCCTATGAAACATACAAAGACAGTTCAGTAATCAAATCAAGTGATGTACATAGAAGAGTTGTTGTGGAAAGATGGTAGTACCTTGATCTGGAAGAAGAAAGAGAAGTGAGAATAGGAACAACACGGACACGAGCGTCCTCTTCCTCATTTTTAGTAAGATCTCTAACGCTCTCAATAGATTTGCTAGCTTAGCTATGAACTTTTTTTATTTACTCAGCTCGAAGAGGAAGAGAGATCCTTAAAAATAGGACATAAATCTAGTGAACTGTGTAGTTGCGTACACTTCGGTTCCTGAGAGTTTCGTCTTTATTTGCTAACGTGGCAGAACTAACGGTTCGGTGTTGCTGAGGAAGCCACGTGGTGGTTTTGTATTGGAGCAGGGTTTGTTCTTGACGTGGATAAGTAGATGGACGACTTGAATAAAACGAAGTCTACGTCCTTGTTGGATGATCGGGCGGCTATCTTTGTTTGTACGATACGTGGCAATGAATTATTGGACTATACCTTCTTTATCGACGTTGGACATTCCGAAGCTAAAAATTAGTTTCTGGATGCTTATTCTCCTTGCCCCACTGCTTTGATATTTGGTCTGAATATAGATTTGAACTGCTGGATAATCTCTTAAGTATTGTTTATGATCAGTGACATGAAGGTGCGTGAGGAACAAGAGGACATGAACTAAGTTCTTTAAGACAGCTCAAACTCCGTTTCTAGGAAACACAATTGTTTGGTTGGTTTAAGAGTTGTATGAACGCAACACTTCTGATTGCAAAACAGTTGTTCAGAGTGTAACACAAAGTAACTCTTGATCTTAACTTCTGAAACGCAAAACTATATATATTTATTTTATGAAGAAAATACCCAACAATGTTAAGAAGAAGTTTGACATATACCAATGTTTGAACTAATCCTCCTCCTATATATATGTTATGAAATAAAGGAGAAAACTGATGGGAAAAAAGAAAAAAAAAAGTTCATCAAGACTTTATAAGTTACCTCCCAACACTTCTTCTGTCATTCTCTGACCAATCCGTCAACCTATTGAAGAACCCTATCTCCACTCACCTCCACGGCGGAGGGAACTCCCAACGTGGTGTCTCCGGCTCTTTCCGCTTCCCACCAATACCAATAGACAAACTCGATGACGGCTCTACGGTTGCTCTTGAATGCTCTCCCATATCCCCCGGTGCTAGAAACTGCCTCAAACTTAACCCCTCTCTGTTTCCCATCTCAACCCCAAACCCAGAGCTCTGATCAAGCTGTGGTGGCCTCACCGATCCATTCATACTAGGCGATCCTCCAGACAAGCTCATGAACATGTGCTGTTGAGGGAATGGTGGCTGTGCATATGGCGCCGATCCCATCATTTGAGGCATCATCACTGGCGTACCCCTCGCGTCCACCAGGTATGGAATAGCTGTTCCAGGAACATACATGGGCGCTGATGACATTGACATACCAGGATGATGACCAGTAAATCCGTTGTACCCATATATAGGAGCTGGAGAAAAGGACACACCAGGGGCTAAACCCAAAGAGTTAGAGTTTCCCGGTGTTCCCATGAATAGTCCTGCTGCTGGCTCGAGTGACTTACCATTGGACAAGAACGAAGACATCTGGGATACACTCTCTTTTCTGTCAACGTCCACTTTTGTACCCAATAGAGACATTACCGGTTCAGCCAATTTGTGCCCTCCATAGGAGGCATTGCTCCATGGGAGCTGCCCATAGTAGGGACCCTGATCACGTGACTCGATGAAAAACTGTGGCCTGTCATTCAAGTCAAAGTTTAATTCCTTGCCTGATTGCTGAGCAACTGACAATGAAGAGACAGGTGAGGCACTTTGCTGACTTAGAAACAATCTGGTTTCCATCTTCAACTGAGAAGGTGGAGGCATGTCATCGTCCTCGTTCGTACAATTCAAATCCAGGTTGAACCTGCTTGATCCCCGGAGATTAGCTTCATGTGACGACTCTCCATCCCTAGAGTTTGATGAGGAGAAAGGAAACTGTTTCCAGGGAGTTCTATCTTCAACTTGGTCATCTCCTACCTCAGCTACATTCAGATCGATACATATCACCTGCTGCTTTTCTCTTGAATCCCCGCTAGGAACTTTATGAGGCAATTCCGAGTGAGATACACTACTAGCAGCCGATCCTTTCGCACTAAGAGATCTTTCTAACTGCAACGGTGCCGCTGCAGGCATAACGACATCTGTTTCATCAGGACAAATGTCTTCATTGAGATCAAAGCCACATGGGCTTTTTTCTCTGTCTACTTCGGCTTTACCAGCTGCTTCCAGGTGCTTCTCTTTAACATCATCACTACTTATCATCCCATTCTCAAGTTTGTTATTCTTCTCATCCATTACATCCTCATCTCCAACATGCGGTTCCTCAACGGAATGGCTTTCACCCATTGATCGTCCCTTAGATGGAGAACCCGTGTGTAGATCATCGTCGTGAGAATTTTGCGAATCAGACTGCCCGCTTTCATCAGAAAATTCTTCTGAAGAACTGTGAGAAGCTTCCCCAGAGTCTACTTCTCTAGCCACTTCCTGTGCGATATTGGTAGCGACCTCCAAGGCATCCAAAATACCAAGGTCAATATCAGCGGTTGTCTTGTCAATTGCTCCAAGGCGCTGGGATATGGTCATTGATCTTGTAGACCTGCGTTTTTTTCTCCGTTTTACTCTCTTCTCTATGTCTAAATGGCTCTTATCTTCATTCTGAGCATGAGCAGCCATACTGTCATTCTCAACTTTATTTTTTCCACCTGATAATCTAGATGAACTGTCAGAATCCTGATTGTCTGTTGTCTGAGCCAATGAAGGCACATGTTTGCTATTATGGGCAATACTCGCATCGTGCGATGCACATACGGTCTCAGACGCATTCCTACTCACCTCGTTTGAATCAAGACTATTCTTCGAAAGACTATTTTTCTCCAACTCCATACTGGCAATAACAGAATCAGAAGACACAGCTACATGTCCTACTGAACTTGATAACACTGCTAAAGCTCCACTTGTTTTTTCAGGAAAATCTCTAATATGCTTCTCCTCAGATATCTCAGCACCCAGCTGAGCATTTGATGGGCCTTCAACACTATCGAGTTCTGAATTAAGAAGGCTACTGGAGCCAGTAGGCATAATAGTCTCTCTCATGGAGCCTTTTCCCTTCAGTGAAAGATTTTCTTGAACTTCTTTCATAATAACATCGGTGGAGGCTCCATTTAAAGTTTCAGTGATCGTATTCACGATCGAGGCAAACTCAACCTTGTCATTCTTCAGTTCCAAACCCATATCTTGATCTGGGTTATCTTCTCCTGAGTTTCCTGACAACAAGGCTTCATCTGCTATTTCAGGACACTGTTTTTCATTACTACTTTGCGTTGAACAAAGAGGAGGAGCTGATTTTAGCTCACCGCTCTCCATACTTACTGCTACAACTCTTATCTCATCTTCATTAGCTTTGCTACAGCTTTCAGTGTCACGTTCAGAATGGTCATTACCTACTTTATCCTTCCAGCTACTAAAGAGCTTTCTCGCCTGATCCTGAACACGAGAACTCCCATGGTCAACAAGTTTCTTGACAGTCACCCATATCCCAGAAGAAACTAACCTCGAACCATCTACACCTATGTTTTCAAGAGCCTCTAACAAAGCCAGAGTCGACTCCTCTACAGATCTGTCAACCGAATCATTACCCAACGCCTGCGCTTCTGCCAGCCAGCTACTCAAGTAACGAACTCCATCTAAATTTACAAAAACATCCAGACACTCTCTGTTCTTTGTGACCGCAATCGTGCTTGCAACAGCTGTCCATTGTCTAGAAGCATCCTTCAAAACAGAGTCTTTGTTACTCTGCATGACAGACACGAGCTCTTCGACACGAGAAGTGACAGTGAGTCCATCTTTTAATTCCGTCAGGGTAAAGAAATCCTCAAGCGTCATACTGCTTTCACGTTCCAAAACCCCAACAATGTTGAACACCCTTCTTAGGAGGTAAAAAGGTTCTATCTCCCATTAGACAAGGTCCTGAGTAAAACAAAGCCACGAAAATATTAGCTTTATGGCCTTATCCTTACTGTGGCAAGTACAGAAGACAGTAACTTAGTTTATCATGCTTTGCTATTACTTTTCTGTGTGTATTTTTTAACTGACAAAGATAGGCACTAGAGAGATCCAATTCAAACACAATAAAACGAAGATCACTCCAATGTGGAAAAATAACATAAAAAGCAAGCATCTGGCAAGAGGAAAAAACATAAAACATACTTTTTGGCATAGTAAAAAACATATAACTACAAAATTTACATGAAAACTGCGAGAAACCACCGTGTGACCGTGGCTTATACAAATTGCAAAAAACGCCCAATCTCAATATACTGCTAAACCTAAATTCAGGATCAAAGCCCTAAAAAACTCAGAAAAAAAGTTCTATCTTTATTGGCCTTAGCCTTACTGTGGCAAGTACACAAGTAGACAGTACCTTACTTTCTCATGCTTTGTATATTACATTTCATGTGTACTAGAACGGTCCAAATTCATATGCAAACTAAGATCACTCTAATGTCGAAAAACAACATAAAACTCAAGCATTTGACATAGTAACATAAAACATACACTTGGCATAGTAACAAAACATATAACTACAAAAAATTTACATCAAAACCACCGTGTGACCATGGCTTATACAGCCAATTTCAAATTCGAAAAAAAAAAACGCCCAATCTCATAAAAGTACATCAATCTCAATATACTGCTAAACCTAATTTCAGGATCAAATCCCTAAAATTCAGAGACAAATAATCAAAACAAACATTTTATGAGATTAGGGCTCAGGATTTCAAGTGATCAATTCAAACAAAATTAAAACAAAATTGAAGACAGATTACAATAAACCCTAACCGAATTACACACCGTTTTACGAAAAAAGAGAATCAAACAATAGAGAAAGTAAAAACGTCTCACCACCGATAAGCAAGAAAACGAAACCCTAGGTCACGCGAGTTGAAACCGATGCGTACTCGCATCGCTTTCTCCTGTATCCTCCTCTGTGTATATATAATACTCTGTTACGATAATCACCGCCTCTATCTCCGGTAACGTCTCTCTCTCTGAGAAAACCTCTTCTTCTTCTTCTTCTTCGGGGAAAAGTTCTCTCTCTCTCTCTCTCTCGTGCGTGAGAGAAGAAAATTCGTTTATTCTTTTTTGTTGAAAATAAATAATTTTAATTTTTAATCATATGCAGCGATTGGTAGATAAAGTAGTGTTATGTATATTCCTCTTTCCTTTTTTTATTTGTTTTTTTTTATTAAACTCCACGTGCGAAGCGTGTGTGTGGGAGATGGTAGGGACGGACTGTTACGGCCCATTTATGTACCCAACTTGTTCAGTCAACAACAAGTACCCCCACTCGGTTCACCAAACCATTTGTCTGGTTAACCATTTAATCTAACGGCTGAGAGTATAGGATTTTATGATTATGGATATTATCATTTTTAATTTAACGGTGGATATGTTTTTTCGTCTTAAAAGAGTGATGTCATTCCTTTTTTAGATACTGTCGTTATCTCCTTAGGAAAATTTTATTTTACCATATTCGTAGTACCATCATTTTTCATTTTTATCTCATAGATAGCTAAGTCATTAGTGGACAAATGACTAAAATATATTTATGGTTAGATAACTAAATTTTGATAAATAAAATAAGAAAAAGGAGAGCGCGCGATGGCGATGGCGACTACGTTTTAGGGTTTTGATGGTTTCACGACGATGGGATTGACGGCGACATCGTCTCAGGCTCCCACGACAAATCCATCATCGTACGGAGCCTCACCAAGGACGACAAATCCTGCGGCATCGCCAAGAGACGCCTCACCGGCCACTCCCACTTCGTCGAGGACCTCGTCCTCTCCTTCGACGGCCAATTTGCTCTCTCCAGAAGCTGAGACGGCGAGCTCCGCCTCTGGATCCTCGCAGCCGGAGTCTCCACTTGCTGATTCGTCGGACACACCAAAGACGTCCTCTCCATCGCCTTCTCCCTCGACAACCGTCAGATCGTGTCGGCCTCCCGTGACCGTACGATCAAGCTCTGGAACACTCTTTGGGAGTGCAAGGACCGGGACTGGGTTAGCTGCGTTAAGTTTAGTTCCAACACGCTCCAGCCGACGATTGTGATAAGACTGTGAAAGTTTGGAACTTGGGGCGAACTGTAAACTTAGGTCGACTCTTGCTGGTCACACTGGGTATGTTAGCACAGTGGCTGTGTTGCCTGATGGTTCGTTATGTGCGAGTGGAGGGAAAGATGGTGTGGTTTTGCCGTGGGATTTGGCTGAGGGGAAGAAGTTTATAAAAGTATAAAATCATTTATAAAATGGTTATAAATGATTTATAAGTTTCTAAAAAATTAATAAACCATTTATAATTGACAAAAGTTTATAAATCATGTATAAAATTATATAAACCATCTTAGATGTCATTCTCCGCAAATCTTCCTAGAGTTTGTTCTATATCTACAAAACTGGATCAGTGGATCAGAAGTTGCACACACACTTAAGCTGAGACACGGGTTTTGATAGGCTTTAAGCTTTAATCCCATGCTCTCAGGAGAGAGAGAAGCTCAGGTGAAATGCAAGAAGGGCTAAGAGGATTTTTAGGGCTCTCTGTGAAACAAGATGGTCTATACAATCCATAACCCATCAAGGAAGATTCCATTGGAACCAAATTTGCATGTGGTTTGGTCCTCTGTTACCATTGAACCACACGCCTGAACCTGAAATTATCCAGAGGTATTGATCAGTGTTGAAACATTCCAATGAGGAAAACGAAAGTTTAAGGCTACATATTTTATTTCTCAAACCTCAACCAAAGCACATAATCGGAATGTAGCAACAAACAATTTTATTTCAAGAGCAATTGATGTACACAAGCTCAAAAAAAAACATGTCTTTACCAACCAAAAAAGACAGTGACAAAGGCAAGCAAACAAGTAAATAAAAGCTAAAACAAGCAAGAAGATAAAAGGAAGTACAAAAGAACATCCATTCGCTCAAAGAGTTAAACAATCAGACAAGTTGTTTCCTAATGATAAGATAAACATCGTTCAAGATCAAAGGAAGTGAGAGTCTGAGACCACAAAAGCACACATATAAACAAACTGATCTACGCCTCTCTTCAACCACTTCTTTCCAGCTGTACAGGTCAATACAGTATCAAACCCATCTAACGCATTTCAATTCCTAAATGCTTTAAGGTTTCAAAAAAAAAAAATTCCTAAATGCTTTAGAACAGAGACAAGAGACACTTACCTTTCGTCTCTTAGATTATTTTTTTCTTCTCCATTCTCCTCCGTGAACTTCCTTCTCACTTAGGGAAGCGAATCTCATTCTTCTTAGTTTGTTGTTTTCTTTAGTATTAGCAAAATTGTAGTGACAGTTCAACAATTTCTCACCAACAACTCTTTATAATTAAACATGTAGAGAACATCAGTCTTAGTGTCATATACACTACTCTACCTTGAAACAAACCAAATGAAGAAGATCAATGCGGCAGAGGAAGATCCCAGACGTTCGGCTCATCCACGTCCACTCGACGAAGTGAAGCAAAGCTGGATACTCCGACCAGCCGTGAGGAAGAAGAAGAAGTACGTTGATCTCGGATGTATACTAATCAGCCGCAAGATCTTTCTATGGACTCTTGGAACCTTTGTTGCAACCGCGTTTCTCCTTGGATCCATAACCGTTATCGTTAGACACGTGCCGCATCATAAACATGAGAAAGCTCAAAAGGATAACTACACTTTGGCTCTTAACAAGACCCTCATGTTCTTCAATGCTCAGAAATGTAAGATCAAAACAAGTGTTTTCCTTTTTAACTAACATTCGGTTATTACATAAACTGAAGGGAGATTTTAGGAGGTATAAATCATTTAGCAAGGTTCCTATAATAATTTTTTAAAATAAATTTTGGGCCTTATTTCCTTGTTAATATTCTGTTACTACATAAACTTCCTGAGATTTTAGGAAGTATTAACAATTTAGTAAAGGTTTCGACAAAAAGGTTTATTAAAAAGATAAATTTTGGGACCTTATTCTATGGAGCGAAATGAGGTGTTTATGACACTACAATGTAAAAACAGCTTTCTGGATTGAATAAATTTAACATAAAAAAAAAGATGCGTCTATGATATGCATTCAGTTTAGTTTAGTTGAGTTTTGTCATGTCTCAAGACTCGTTTACTTATGATGTTCCTTGCAGCTGGGAAACTTCCAAAGCAGAACAACGTGTCATGGAGAGGGGATTCTTGTATGAAAGATGTTGATAAAGAAGAATACCCTCACAGAGATGTGGTTGGAGGCTACTACGATGCCGGAGATGCAATCAAGTTCAGCTTCCCAATGTCATATGCAATGACCATGCTGAGCTGGAGCGTGATTGAATACAGTGCTAAATACGAAGCTGCAGGGGAGCTTGACCATGTTAAAGAACTCATCAAATGGGGAAGTGATTACTTTCTCAAGACCTTTAACAGTAGTGCTGATACAGTAGACAGGATGGTGTCACAGGTAAAATTATTGTCATAAGGTCACTGGGATGCTAAACAGTTATGAAACATATGTGAATTTTCACAGGTTGGATCTGGGCATACCAGTGGAGGAAGTGACTGCTGGACGCGTCCTGAGGATATTGACTATGCAAGGCTTGCGCATACTTGTTACTCTGGTTGCTCGGATCTTGCAGCTGAGATGACAGCTGCTCTGGCCTCTGCATCCATTGTTTTTAAAGACAACAGCGAGTACTCTAAGAAGCTTGTTCACGGTGCTGTTACGCTTTATAATTTTGCAAACCTTCATAAAGAAAGTTACAGTATGCCTTATAAAGAGTCTAGCGAGTTTTATAAGTCCAGCCTGTTTTGGGATGAGCTTCTCTGGGGTGGTGCTTGGTTATACTATGCTACTGGTAATGTAACCTACCTAGATCAAGTTACCAACCATGATATGGCAACGCATGCCGGTGCCTTCTGGAGTAGCCCTTACTATGGTGTCCCTAGCTGGGACAACAAACTACCCGGAGCTCAGGTTAGTTCTGTAGTAATGTTATTTTGTCCGAGTCTTGAAACCACCTAACATGCTTGGTTTCTGTATCTATGTGTTTTTGTTAGTTGCTTTTGACCAGGTTGAGGCTGTTTATAAGCCCTGGATATCCATATGAATACATCTTGAGCACCTTTCATAATCAAACAGGAGTAGTCATGTGCTCATACTTACCTTACTACAAAAAGTTTAAAAGAACCAAGGGTGAGTTGAGAGTACTTCGCTGTCTACAGTTTTTACTTTTTTGTGGACCTGTTGTGAAGAGCTATAACCTTTGCTATTTTCTGTGCAGGAGGCTTAATAATGTTGAACCATGGAGATCCGCAGCCTCTGCAATATGCTGCAAATGCGGCTTTCTTAGCTGCGCTATTTAGTGATTATCTTGATGCTGCTGACACTCCTGGATGGTACTGTGGTCCTAAATTCTATTCTACTGAAGTCCTACGTGACTTTGCTAGATCACAGGTATATAATGTGGTTCCTCTATAGCATAAATGAAGCAACCAAATGACCTTATCTGATCAAACTCTTGCGTGTGTTTTTATGGCAGATTGATTACATACTCGGTAACAATCCTAGGAACATGAGTTATGTTGTCGGCTTTGGACAACGATACCCGACACATGTACACCATAGAGGAGCTTCCATACCGAAAAGTGTGAAGAAAGAAAGCTGCACCGGAGGTTGGAAATGGAGAGACACCAAAGAGAATGACCCAAACACCATTGTTGGAGCGATGGTTGCAGGGCCTGACAAGCATGACGGATTCCATGACCTTCGTACTAATTATAACTACACTGAGCCGACTCTTGCAGGCAATGCTGGTCTGGTTTCAGCTTTGGTGGCTTTATCAGGCGAAAGAAGGTTAGGAGCTATTGACAAGAACTCTATGTTTTCCGCTGTGCCTCCTTTAACACCTGCCACACCACCTCCTCCAGCTCCGTGGACTCCTTAAAAAGGAAAACTAAAAACCTTTTGTGTGTAATAAGTTATCTAGTTTTGCCTTGTTTAAAACACAAGTGAATAATGTAG